TGGACACAGACCTATCATCTGCCTGCTCTATTTAGCGGGGGATCAGCAGACAGATACCCCACTAAACAAAGTGGATTCTGCCATATTTGAAAGGGACCAATGCTAAATTTAAACGCCAAAAGAGGGCTTCTGTCAAAATCATTCCACATTCATGTGTCAGATTATTTCTATTTGTTACTTATGTTGTACATTTTGGGATGGGGTGATGGCGGTTGTGTACATTCCCATGTGAGAAGATAATAAACTTCACTCCGTTATGCTATCAGTATCTAAAAATTAATTTAATTATATTTACAGCAGGAAAATACCAGAATAAAATACAGGTAAAGCTGTAAAACAGAAACATGCCGTTGGTTGGCCGTGGAGGTCTGATTTCGTATATGCAACCAGAGTAATGTAAAGGGCATGGTATCTTACTGGACACACATATGGCCCTGTCCAAAAGGGATAGAAAGGGCCAAACATGAGTCAAGCTAAGACTTGTACAATTAATAAAAAAAAAAAAACTGAACACATAAGCACTGTGGAGCCAAGGACTTACCACACTCAGGAGCTTCAGTAAACAGTCATCACATAACTAACAGTGAGATGCCTAGGAAGACTCCACAGGACCCAAGTAATGGGTAGTTTGACTAGTAAACTGAAGTATAAAGGAAAAACAGAAGCAAGAGAAGAGAAAAAAAGGTTGGGGTGGGGAAGGGAAAGGGTAAAGGAAGGAAGGGAGGGGTACCACCAGATGGAGCGCATACAGACATAGTTGGTGTCTACCTCTAGCTCATTCTAGCAGTATGGAATTAGGGCCCTCGATTTTAAATATGCTTTAATGAACACGCATCTGGAATCAAAGTTACATTTTTTTGCTTTCTCTACACTTATCTCTCTTCATCTACTCTAATAAAAAAAAAACAGAACAGAGAGTTAGGAAAGAGGGGTGGGGGAGGGGAGGTAGCACTATTAGCATTGGTCATCAAATGAAGCTGTTATTCCTCTTTTTAACTGTGTGTAGCCACTTCCTAGGTTGTGGGCAACTGAATTGCAAAATGCAAAAATTTGGAAAGACTAAATCTGCCTGGTTGATAATCAAGTGAAATTTAACAGATTACATTAACTGATTACTGACTGATAAATGTGCTCCTAGAGCTGAATATAAATTGTTTCTTTATTCATTCATCACCTGCAAATTTCATATTGTATGCTTTTGTGCTGCACATTTATTTTTGGAAACTTTGCTTCAGAATTATTATTTGCTTATTTTTCAGAATGCTTTGGTGACATATGTTCTCCAAAGTTCACCTAGGCACTTTAACTTTGCACTTGGCTTTAAACTACCTGCACAGTGGTCCATTCTCAGCTACAAATACATTTTAATGCCAGATGTTATTAAATATTACAATTGTTTTTTACATGCAGTACTTAACATGTATCATAAGACTTTTTTTATTTTTAGAAAGAATAGGAATGAGTTAAAACCCTTATCAAATAAATTTTGCTATCTGTGACCTTCTGGAGAGATTCCCCTTAACTTCCTATAGCACCCTTCTAGAATACTGTAGGGAAGGAGGAAAGGGAGGGCAAGGAGGGCCCCCTCCTTGCCCTCCCTCCCTCTCCTTTCCTACAGTGTACGGAGATCCATGAGGCAGTTAGGTGTCGGCCATTAGCAGGGTTTGACAGCTGTCAAATTCAGTCCCTCGATATGCCTGCTGAGGGATTCGGAATGGTCCTTTACCACACACACCTGATGTTACTTCCATGTTGAGATCTGTACCTGAGCCATTTGTGAGTGTACTATTTTTTAATTGTTTTTTAATTGTTTAATAAAACCACATATATTGCTGATGGAGATCCCGTGTTGCTGTTTCCTTTGTTTTTTCAAGGTATTTTGGATCTTCCTGGGTCTGTTGGTAGCTGCAGGATCCTTTGGCTGTGTTCACCCTGAGATACACTTCCCCCATCCCACCAGTTAATTGGACATTAGATATGGAAAGCTGGGAGCTGTAATGCGCTAGATGGGTCTGTGATTTGCTTCTAGAATAGGTTGCTAGAATGGTTCAGGTAAATCTAGTTCTTTAGCTACATTGTAATCATTAGAGTGGTGTGTGATTATTTCTGGCTGTTCTGGGCCTCATTGGCTGCAGACTCAACTGCTTCCCCCTGACTTCTAGTGTAATCTAGAATGTAGTGTGTTGGAAGAGGCAGACCCTTGGCCTGGATATTTATAAAGTCTCAGACAATCCCTGAGGAGGTATTAAGGTTATTACCGCAAATATCTGGATTTCTTAGGTATTCTATTGCAGATGAAAGTTGGGGGTAAGTTTTGGGTGATCCTTATAAACTGCCTTAGGCTTGTTTGACAATATTACTAGGAAAGTGTCACTCTCCATCATTAACAAATGCGCAATCCACAAAATCCATTTTAACCCCTTCACGCCTAAGAGTAAAACAAATCTTAAAGCCTAAGCACAATTTTGCAACTTTGACATGTGTTAGCAACCATACATATCATGACACAACTACTTTTCATTCAGATTACACCCTGTTCCAACTTATTATGCAAATGATATTTTTCTCATTTACCTAAATAATTGATGTAAATAACAGTCAGCATAATTCTCATGTTATCAACTATTAAGAGTACAATTCACATTTTATTGAACAAACCTCCTAATGATAACAGGATTTTTTTAAACATAAAACACTTCCAATGCACTGTTCCAAATTATTACGCACAGTAAGTTTCAAAACACTTTATAGGTTGTAATTAGAGATGAGCGAATCGAAGTAGGCGAAGTGGAATTCGTTTCGAATATTAGGAAAATTTCGAATCCGAAAATAAGCAGACTTCGGATGCGCGAATCGAAATTTTTCCTAAAATGGCGGCGACATGTGCGGCGACGGAGCGGGGATGTCTGGGAAGGCAAGCAGACAAGGCGCGCTGACCCATAATGCATTCATTCATGACATGTGATCGCATTAGCCAATCAGCAGCCAGCCAGCCAGCACAGTGTAATGGTCGAGCTATAAATGGCGGCCATTTTAGAATTCTCCATTTGCCTCCAGTCATTCAACAGAGGCAGACCTGGCTGTATGCAGGGAGAGAGTTAGGGACAGAGAAACGTTACTTAGGGACACAGAAACGTTAGTTAGGGCCACAGAATCGTTACTTAGGGCCACAGAAACGTTGCTTAGGGCCACAGAAACGTTACTTAGGGCCACAGAATCGTTAGTTAGGGCCACAGAAACGTTACTTAGGGACACAGAATTGTTACTGAGGGATACAGAATTGTTACTGAGGGCCACAGAATCGTTACTTAGGGCCACAGAAACGTTACTTAGGGCCACAGAATTGTTACTTAGGGACAGACACAGAATTGTTATTGAGGGACACAGAATTGTTAGTGAAGGCCACAGAACCGTTACTTAGGGCCACAGAAACGTTACTTAGGGCCACAGAATTGTTACTTAGGGACAGACACAGAATTGTTACTGAGGGACACAGATTTGTTACTGAGGGCCACAGAAACGTTACTTAGGGCCACAGAATTGTTACTTAGGGACAGACACAGAATTGTTATTGAGGGACACAGAATTGTTACTGAGGGCCACAGAACCGTTACTTAGGGCCACAGAAACGTTACTTAGGGCCACAGAATTGTTACTTAGGGACAGACACAGAATTGTTACTGAGGGACACAGATTTGTTACTGAGGGCCACAGAAACGTTACTTAGGGCCACAGAAACGTTACTTAGGGCCACAGAATCGTTAGTTAGGGCCACAGAAACGTTACTTAGGGACACAGAATTGTTACTCAGGGACAGACACAGAATTGTTACTGAGGGATACAGAATTGTTACTGAGGGCCACAGAATCGTTACTTAGGGCCACAAAAACGTTACTTAGGGCCACAGAAACGTTACTTAGGGCCACAGAATTGTTACTTAGGGACAGACACAGAATTGTTATTGAGGGACACAGAATTGTTACTGAGGGACACAGAATTGTTACTCAGGGACACAGAATTGTTACTCAGGGACAGACACAGAATTGTTACTCATGTCAGACAACATGCAGAGGAGTGGCAGAGGAGGCAATGTTTTAGGAGCGAGCAGACGTGGCAGCAGAGGAAGGGGTCGAGGCAGCACTATTCGCAGCCAGAGGCCAGTGCTCCCGGTGTCATCCAGTACAGTGAGGAAGAGCTAACAGAGGGCGGTCAGGAACGGGGGGAGACATCCGCCTCTTCAGCAGCCAGGCAAAGAAGTAGTGGCGAGGAGAGTTGCTCGGTAGCCGGTCTAGAGACAGGTCTGTCTCCTGACCCACACGCAGCCGAGGGGGCTAGTAGTGAGGCGGAGACCCTAATTGATGATGATGAGGCTGATCGCACTTGGCAGCCTCGTCGTCATCAGGCTATTGCTTCCGCATCATCAGGAGAAGAGGGTGGCAGCTTGGCAGCGAGCAAAACAGTCGGTGGGTTGTCTCCATCGCCACACTCTGCCATGTGCCACTTTCAGGTCTCCTCACACACTGCTGGTGTGTTCCATTTTTTGTCATAGGGTGCTGGCAGATTACGGGCCTCCCATAGCTGCTGCCAGACCCCTAATCTGCCATGGGCCCCTGTACCGCCCTCCTCATGCTGCTGCCAGGTCCACAGTGTCTCATGCCATGTGCCACTTTCAGGTCTCCTCACACTGCTGGTGTGTTCAATTTTTTGTCATAGGGTGCTGGCAGATTACGGGCCTCCCATAGCTGCTGCCAGGCCCCTAATCTGCCATGGGCCCCTATACCGCCTCCTCATGCTGCTGCGAAGTCCAGAGTCTCTCATGGGTCCCTGTACGGCCTCCCATTGCTGCTGTCTCCATCGCCACACTCTGCCATGTGCCACTTTCAGGTCTCCTCACACACTGCTGGTGTGTTCAATTTTTTGACATAGGGTGCTGGCAGATTACGGGCCTCCCATAGCTGCTGCCAGGCCCCTAATCTGCCATGGGCCCCTATACCGCCTCCTCATGCTGCTGCCAGGTCCACAGTCTCTCATGGGTCCCTGTACGGCCTCCCATTGCTGCTGTCTCCATCGCCACACTCTGCCATGTGCCACTTTCAGGTCTCCTCACACACTGCTGGTGTGTTCAATTTTTTGACATAGGGTGCTGGCAGATTACGGGCCTCCCATAGCTGCTGCCAGGCCCCTAATCTGCCATGGGCCCCTATACCGCCTCCTCATGCTGCTGCCAGGTCCAGAGTCTCTCATGGGTCCCTGTACGGCCTCCCATTGCTGCTGTCTCCATCGCCACACTCTGCCATGTGCCACTTTCAGGTCTCCTCACACACTGCTGGTGTGTTCCATTTTTTGTCATAGGGTGCTGGCAGATTACGGGCCTCCCATAGCTGCTGCCAGGCCCCTAATCTGCCATGGGCCCCTGTACCGCCTCCTCATGCTGCTGCCAGGTCCACAGTGTCTCATGGGTCCCTGTACGGCCTCCCATTGCTGCTGTCTCCATCGCCACCCTCTGCTATGTGCCACTTTCAGGTCTCCTCACACTGCTGGTGTGTTACATTTTTTGTCATAGGGTGCTGGCAGATTACGGGCCTCCCATAGCTGCTGCCAGGCCCCTAATCTGCCATGGGCCCCTGTACCGCCTCCTCATGCTGCTGCCAGGTCCACAGTGTCTCATGCCATGTGCCACTTTCAGGTCTCCTCACACTGCTGGTGTGTTCCATTTTTTGTCATAGGGTGCTGGCAGATTACGGGCCTCCCATTGCTGCTGCCAGGCCCCTAATCTGCCATGGGCCCCTATACCGCCTCCTCATGCTGCTGCCAGGTCCACAGTGTCTCATGGGTCCCTGTACGGCCTCCCATTGCTGCTGTCTCCATCGCGACATTCTGCCATGTGCCACTTTCAGGTCTCCTCACACACTGCTGGTGTGTTCCATTTTTTGTCATAGGGTGCTGGCAGATTACGGGCCTCCCATAGCTGCTGCCAGGCCCCTAATCTGCCATGGGCCCCTGTACCCGCCTCCTCATGCTGCTGCCAGGTCCACAGTCTCTCATGGGTCCCTGTACGGCCTCCCATTGCTGCTGTCTCCATCGCCACACTCTGCCATGTGCCACTTTCATGTCTCCTCACACTGCTGGTGTGTTCCATTTTTTGTCATAGGGTGCTGGCAGATTACGGGCCTCCCATTGCTGCTGCCAGGCCCGTAATCTGCCATGGGCCCCTGTACCGCCTCTTCATGCTGCTGCCAGGTCCAGAGTGTGTCATGGGTCCCTGTACGGCCTCCCATTGCTGCTGCCAGGAGGCAGCAGGGTCGCAGCAGTGTCAGTGGAGGCAAACGGCCATGGAGTAGAGCACCAGCTCCACTGCAGCCTACCACCACGGCCAGTAGTGGTGCCGGTGTGCACGGAGGAAGTAGCAGTCAGCCAGTGAGGAGTAGCGGGGGCAAAGTTTCCTACTCGGCGGTGTGGCAATTTTTCGTCAAGCCGCCCGAGGAAGTAAACGTAGCCGTATGTCGACTATGTGGCCAGAAAGTCAAGCGTGGCCAGGGGGCCCATGTTGGGACTACAGCGTTGCGTCAGCATATGCAGCGTCGCCATTCGGTGGCCTGGGAAAACCGTGATAAAGATACGGCGGTTCTGCCTGCCCCAGCCCAGGGTTCCATTTTGTCATAGGGTGCTGGCAGATTACGGGCCTCCCATTGCTGCTGCCAGGCCTTAATCTGCCATGGGCCCCTGTACCGCCTCCTCATGCTGCTGCCAGGTCCACAGTGTCTCATGGGTCCCTGAACCGCCTCCCATTGCTGCTGTCTCCATCGCCACACTCTGCCATGTGCCACTTTCAGGTCTCCTCACACACTGCTGGTGTGTTCCATTTTTTGTCATAGGGTGCTGGCAGATTACGGGCCTCCCATTGCTGCTGCCAGGCCCGTAATCTGCCATGGGCCCCAGTACTGCCTCCTCATGCTGCTGCCAGGTCCACAGTCTCTCATGGGTCCCTGTACGGCCTCCCATTGCTGCTGTCTCCATCGCCACACTCTGCCATGTGCCACTTTCAGGTCTCCTCACACTGCTGGTGTGTTCCATTTTTTGTCATAGGGTGCTGGCAGATTACGGGCCTCCCATAGCTGCTGCCAGGCCCCTAATCTGCCATGGGCCCCTGTACCGCCTCCTCATGCTGCTGCCAGGTCCACAGTCTCTCATGGGTCCCTGTACGGCCTCCCATTGCTGCTGTCTCCATCGCCACACTCTGCCATGTGCCACTTTCAGGTCTCCTCACACTGTTGGTGTGTTCCATTTTTTGTCATAGGGTGCTGGCAGATTACGGGCCTCCCATAGCTGCTGCCAGGCCCCTTATCTGCCATGGGCCCCTGTACCGCCTCCTCATGCTGCTGCCAGGTCCAGAGTCTCTCATGGGTCCTGTACAGCCTCCCATTGCTGCTGTCTCCATCGCCACACTCTGCCATTTGCCACTTTCAGGTCTCCTCACACACTGCTGGTGTGTTCCATTTTTTGTCATAGGGTGCTGGCAGATTACGGGCCTCCCATAGCTTCTGCCAGGCCCGTAATCTGCCATGGGCCCCCGTACCGACTCCTCATGCTGCTGCCAGGCCCGTAATCTGTCATGGGCCCCTGTTGTCGCTTGTTGGCATATTCCGCTCGTTCAGATGCTCCTTCTCCTGCTACTCCTCTTCACGGATTCCGTCAGCAGTCTTTCTTGGAATCCGTTTCCAAGAGACAACAGTTTGCGAGCACGCACCCGACGGTGCAGAAGCTGAACGTCCTCCTGTCCAAGTTGCTGCTGCCAGGCTCGTAATCTGTCATGCGCCCCTGTACCGCCTCCTCATGCTGCTGCCAGGTCCAGAGTGTGTCATGGGTCCCTGTACGGCCTCCCATTGCTGCTGCCAGGCCCGTAATCTGCCATGGGCCCCCGTACCGACTCCTCATGCTGCTGCCAGGCCCGTAATCTGTCATGGGCCCCTGTACCGCCTCCTCATGCTGCTACCAGGTCCAGAGTGTGTCATGGGTCCCTGTACGGCCTCCCATTGCTGCTGTCTCCATCGCCACACTCTGCCATGTGCCACTTTCAGGTCTCCTCACACTGCTGGTGGTTTCCATTTTTGTCATAGGGTGCTGTATGGCCTCCCATTGCTGCTGCCTCCACCGCCACACTGTGGCTCCACACTCTGGTTTTGCCCCGTGACTGCCCAAATGAGTGAAGTGTGCGGTGATTCTAAGATCGACGGCACTTATCTGCATGTCATACTGACTGTCAGTATTATTTCTCTTCCCCAGCAGACTCCAAGGGCATTTAAATTAAAGGTACAGTGTTCTGCACTAATATAAAGGCTCTCTGAAGCCTAGAAACACCCTTTTATAAGTTAAATTCGCAGCGAATATATTCGACTCGAATCGAAATTTTTCCACGAATTCGCCGAATCAGTCGAATCGAATTTTTGAATACTTCGCTCATCTCTAGTTGTAATGAACTGAAAATTGTCATTTGTTGTGTTTGCAACATATTTACTGAAACCAAAAGCTATTTCAATCAAACTTTTAACAACATTTTAACTTTTGTAAACATTTTAACAGATCAGGTTACATTTTAACATAGGACCCCTTATTTGATAGCAGCTTCACAAGTCTTGCATCCATTGAACTTGTGAGTTTTTGGACAGTTTCTGCTTGAATTTGTTTGAAAGATGTCAGAATAGCCTTCCAGAGCTGCTGTTTGGATGTAAACTGCCTCCCACCCTCATAGATCTTTTGCTTGAGGATGCTCCAAAGGTTCTCAATAGGACTGAGGTCAGGGCAGGATGGAGGCCACACCATGACTTTCTCACCTTTTATCCCCATAGCAGCCATTGATGCAGAGGTATTCTTTGCAGCATGAGATGGTGCATTGTCATGCATGAAGATGATTTTATTACATAAAGCATAGTTCTTCCTTCTGTACCAGGGAAGAAAGTGGTCAGTCATAAACTCCACTTACTTTGCAGAGGTCATATTTACACCTTCGGGGACCCTAAAGGGGCCGACCAGCTCTGTTTCCATGATTCCGGCCCAAAACATGACTCCACCACCGCCTTGCTGACATCGCAGCCTTGTTGGAACAGGGTGGCCGTCCACCAACCATCCACTACTCCATCCATCTGGACCATCCAGGGTTGCACGGCACTCATCAGTGAACAGGACTGTTTGAAAATTAGTCTTCATGTATTTTTCTGCCCAATGCAGCCGTTTCTGCTTGTGAGCATTGATTATTGGTGGCCGAATAGAAGGTTTATGCACAGTTTCAAAACTCTGGAGGACTCTACACCTTGATGTCCGTGGGACTCCAGAGGCACCAGCAGCTTCAAATATCTGTTTGCTGCTATGTAATGGTATTTTTAGCAGCTGCTCTCTTGATCTGGAAGCATGGATCTGGCAGAAATCATCCTCAATGTGCCTTTATCTGCACAAACCCGTCTGTGCTCTGAATCAGCCACAAATCTCTTAATAATGCGATGATCACGCTTAAGTTTTCGTTAAAATTTCTAATGTTTTCATACCTTATCCAAGGCATTGAACTATTTCACTCTTTTTGACAGCAGAGAGATCCTTTTTCTTCCCCGTATTGCTTGAAAATGGTGCTCTGCTTAATAATGTGGAACACCATCCTTTATAGTCAGGTCCATAAATATTGGGGCATCGATACAATTCTAACATTTTTGGCTCTATACACCACCACAATGGATTCGAAATGAAACGAACAAGATGTGCTTTAACTGCAGACTGTCAGCTTTAATTTGAGGGTATTTACATCCAAATCAGGTGAACGGTGTAGGAATTACAACAGTTTGCATATGTGCCTCCCACTTGTTAAGGGACCAAAAGTAATGGGACAATTGGCTTATCAGCTGTTTCCGTGGCCAGGTGTGTGTTATTCCCTCAATATCCCAATTACAATGAGCAGATAAAAGGTCCAGAGTTCATTTCAAGTGTGCTATTTGCATTTGGAATCTGTTGCTGTCAACTCTGAAGATGAGATCCAAAGAGCTGTCACTATCAGTGAAGCAAGCCATCATTAGGCTGAAAAAACAAAACAAACCCATCAGAGAGATAGCAAAAACATTAGGCGTGGCCAAAACAACTGTTTGGAACATTCTTAAAAAGAAGGAACGCACCGGTGAGCTCAGCAAACACAAAAGACCTGGAAGACCATGGAAAACAACTGTGGTGGATGACCGAAGAATTCTTTCCCTGGTGAGAGAAAACACCCTTCACAACAGTTGGCCAGATCAAGAACACTCTCCAGGAGGTAGGTGTATGTGTGTCAAAGTCAACAATCAAGAGAAGACTTCACCAGAGTGAATACAGAGGGTTCACCACAAGATGTAAACCATTGGTGAGCCTCAAAAACAGGAAGGCCAGATTAGAGTTTGCCAAACGACATCTAAAAAAGCCTTTACAGTTCTGGAACAACATCCTATGGACAGATGAGACCAAGGTCAACTTGTACCAGAGTGATGGGAAGAGAAGAGTATGGAAAAGGAAAGGAACTGCTCATGATCCTAAGCATACCACCTCATCAGTGAAGCATGGTGGTGGTAGTGTCATGGCGTGGGCATGTATGGCTGCCAATGGAACTGGTTCTCTTGTATTTATTGATGATGTGACTGCTGACAAAAGCAGCAGGATGAATTGTGAAGTGTTTCGGGCAATATTATCTGCTCATATTCAGCCAAATGCTTTAGAACTCATTGGACGCCGCTTCACAGTGCAGATGGACAATGACCCAAAGCATACTGCAAAAGCAACCAAAGAGTTTTTTAAGGGAAAGAAGTGGAATGTTATGCAATCGCCAAGTCAGTCACCTGTCCTGAATCCGATTGAGCATGCATTTCACTTGCTGAAGACAAAACTGAAGGGAAAATGCCCCAAGAACAAGCAGGAACTGAAGACAGTTGCAGTAGAGGCCTGGCAGAGCATCACCAGGGATGAAACCCAGCGTCTGGTGATGTGTATGTGTTCCAGACTTCAGGCTGTAATTGACTGCAAAGGATTTGCAACCAAATATTAAAAAGTGAAAGTTTTATTTATGATTATTATTCTGTCCCATTACTTTTGGTCCCTTAACAAGTGGGAGGCACATATGCAAACTGTTGTAATTCCTACACCGTTCACCTGATTTGGATGTAAATACCCTCAAATTAAAGCTGACAGTCTGCAGTTAAAGCACATCTTTTTTGTTTCATTTCAAATCCATTGTGGTGGTGTATAGAGCCAAAAATGTTAGAATTGCATCGATGTCCCAATACTTATTGGACCTGACTGTAGTAGTTTTTCCTTAAATTGGGCTCACCTGCCAATCTAATTATCACAGGTGTCCGAGATTGCTTTCAGTGATCAAAAGAGCCCTGACACACAATGCCATCCATGAGTTACACTGAAAAACAAAAATATTTAATCTTTGTGACACTTAAATAGAATCTGCATAATAATTTGGAACAGGGTGTATACCTTGTTTTTTTTCAGGACAAATTGGGCTTTCATTTAGTGGTACCGTATTTTTCGCCGTATAAGACGCACTTTTTGTTCCCCAAAACTGGGGGGGAAATGTCAGTGCGTCTTATGGAGCGAATATGGAGCGGCCGGTCCGGTATTTCCACCGCGGCCGTGTCAGAATACCGGGCCGGCCGCTCAGCTCTGCAGCGGGACCTTACCTGTTCCTCTATCCAGCGGCGTGCTGTCTTCTGTAGTGTGGGCACTGGGCATGACAGCCGGGTGCCAAGTGCGCATTCGCAAGAAGCCGTGCTGTTTGTAAATGGTAAGGCGGTACCTGGGACACATGACAGATCCCAGAAGCCGCCGGACCAATCACAAAGCGCAAGTGCTTCTC